TAGATAACTTCGTGCATTACTATGTGACACTAAATGATTGATCTAAGGAGGTGTCACTTGGTAAAATGTTGCCTGGACTACGAACTGGGCTGTCCAGTTGAATTCAGTTGCCTGGGATACGAACTGTACTATCCAAACTATGAATTGGGCTGTCCAGCTAAGTTGTCAAGTGAGTCCGGCTAGGCAAAGGCAAAGGAAGGTCCTTGAAAAGAAATGGTTTTTTTTTTTGATGCGGCTACTCTCTTGTAGCTTGGGTGTTTGCATTTCAATTATTAATTGGGATAATTTATAGTGCAAGGAACATGAGTATGGACGAAGCACTGAAATCCAGAATGCAAAATCACACTGAAGTCCAAGTATTCAAAGCCAAAGCAGATAGCACATGGAACCGAGTAACCATCCCATTGAGAATGATACAGAAGAATCGTGAGTCAATGTCCATGCCCACCAGGGCAACACCAGCAGCATAACCCAAATGTAGCTCTCTCTTGTGAATGGCGCCAGGCACCCTATCTACTCTACAGCCTATCCTACAACTACAGCAACGAACAGCAACCAGGCAACTTGACTACCAGCGAGTGATGATGTCAACACCAATGCGGACCTCCACCATCACCAGGTACGTGTCATCTTCCCCACACTCTCCCTTGTTACCCACACAGCGCCCTTCACCTCCCCTGCACCMTCTTGCGGCCCGGCTATGGCCGCCGGTGCCCTGCAAGCAGGCAGCGCCCTACCGCCTAGCGCTGCCCTGCTTCTTCTTAGCGCAGCGCTRCTCTGCATTAGYGCAGCAGCCTTGCATCTGCGCAGCGTGCCCGCATATGCCAGCRTTGGCCAAGATGCTTGCCCACTCGCYCTGCTTGCCTATATGCCAGTGCTGCGTGTGGGCGGCCTCCCTTCAGCCTGCGACTGGGCCCCGGTGGCTGAACTCAGCCCKATACAGTTGAGGCCCGGGGCAATGCAGTTGCGTTTCCCTCGTCAASGCCTGCGGCCAGATGCAGACAGTGGGCCGATTTCCCTTTGGCATTTTYGGCCTCTATACCCAGCGTGCATTGCCGGCCTCACGTATGTGCCCAGGGCCTAACCAACTCTGGGGCCCTGGGTTCTGCATTTGCAGATCTCCGATACTCGGTGCACTCCAACCAACTGGCGTGCTGCAACTGTACGAACCCCATTACGTGAAATGTTTGCACAGAGGGCCTGTTCCGGATATTCTGACCAGCCTTCACTTAGGGCGGTCGCATATCTGGCCCGCCTTCACTTAGGGCGGGCACGAGGCTTGCTGGGGCCTTAGCCCAGAACATGTACAACATGGCAAGGCCCCTTCTTGAGGGCTCAGTCCTCACAGATGATTGATGACCTCTTTTGTATTTGTTTGTCTGTAAGGGTGACGGGCTTCTGATATGCCCAAGTAATTTAGATGGGTGACGGGCTTCAGATATGCCCACCTTCTATTCTTGACGTTTACAGTTGTTAATTGCTTGTGGACTTTCATTCCCGTTACAATTTCACGCTGAAGACATGCTTATCGGTAGGAAAGCTGAATTTTTTTTTCAGGGTGCAGGGGTTTGGATTATGTTGTTAACATCTCTGGTTGAAGCGGTTGAGAGCAAGAGTCAAGGGTATTCAGGGTGAAGGGGTTGCAGTTAGTCGTTCACATCTCTCTCTCTCTCTCTCTCTCTCTCTCTCTCTCTCTCTCTCTCTCTCTCTCTCTCTCATGGAAATTCAGTACCTCAACGACAAAAAACTTTGAAATTCGGTTATAATATGAATGTCTTTCTTCTGTTAACTGACTCTGTTTCCAAATTTTTGTGTTCTATGTCACATGGTTTTTATGACAATTTTTGCAGAAACCCTTTGAAAAGATGTTCGACTCTCTGCTTGAATGCATGAACCCTGAACTTGTTGCACTTGAAGATGAGTTAGGGACAATATTTGATAAAATGGACTTACACAAATCATCATSATCAGGAGCAGGTGGCCTGGACAGAACAAGTATGCTGAGTCTGAAAAGTGGCGGTTGGTGGGAGATGCAAACTTGTGGAAACCCAAATCGGAAACTGGACCGAACACATGTTGTTCTGACAGGTTACACACAACCTGAGCGCTCTCTTAGCCTGCATTCAAATAATGGAGATGGCTTAAYGAACAGGTTCAACGTTTACATTCCAGACGTGGAGATCAAGATGTATGAAGACACYGATGGGCCAGAGGCACCGGATGAAAGTGTCTTCTCAACTGATTATCTTCCAATTGTTGAGGASATGGATCGTTATCGTCAAATCCCAAGTGAAGCGTGGACAAAACTTTCCGAGGTGTGTAAATACGAAAAACAATGTTTTTCCTCGTACCTTTTTTTTTTTGGAAGTCGAGAATCTGTTTCAAAGTAATGGTCTGTATTTTTTTATCGTTAAATATATATATATATATATATATATATATCGTTAAATATATATATAGCCCCTCGTTTGTTGTCCTCTTCTCTCTCTCTGCCTACGGT